TTTGAGGAGTTCTAAATTGAAACAAGCCCTCTATAAAGGAGAGGGGAGTCTCATGAGACTTAGGAAGTAAACAACTTCCAAATCTCAAGAAGTTCCTGAACCTAACAGAATATATAGGGCCCCTCTTCAAGGCTGTAGCTCCAGCAAGCAACTTCTGGGAGCTGCCTAGAAGAATTCTGACCAGCTGAGCTGCTAGAGTCATGAAAACAACTGTTGGGTGTTGCAGCTTTTGTTAATCATCATTGTGCTGGGGTGTGCTTTGTGGTGATGCATCTGCTTGCATGTTGTCCATGCTCCCATAAGTAACCCTGCACCTGTATCTGTAGCTGAAGTTTTTTTGTGTCCACCTGGCTCCTGCAGCAGCACAGACCCAAGTAAACACACAGAGACTTATATTACTTATAAACTGTATGGCTGTGGCAGGCTTCTTGCCATCTAGTTCTTATATCCTAAATTAACCCATTTCTATTGATCTATAAATTGCCACGTGGCTTGTGGCTTACCGGTACTTTTACATCTTGCTTCCTCTGTATCTGGCTGGCGACTCCTGACTCAACTTTCCTGTCCCCAGAATTCTCCTCTCTCTTTTTCCTACCTATACTATACTTCCTACCTGGCTACTAGCCAATCAGCACTTTATTTATTAACCAATCAGAGCAACATATTCACAGCATACAGAGCGATATCCACAGCATATATTCCTGTAAATAACCCCAGTTAATTAATCAGTTCATTATGTTGGACTTTGATAGACTCGTTCCTTTGGACCGTTGCTTGGTTCCCTACCTTAGGTGAATAGATGTTTGTGCTGCATCTCCTCGGGAAAAGTCTCACACAACACTGAACAGCACTGAACTGAATGCTATAGAAAAGGAAGCTTGGAAATGTTTGACAAAGTGAAATGAATAGTGTAAATAAGAAACAACACGGAGTTCAGGACTCAGTGTTTTTTTTTTTAATCTCTTATTTTAGAAGGATCTATATGAACTCTGGAAGTATAGAATAATTTATCTGAACTACAGTCTTCTTTTTCTTTTTGTTTAAAAAATTAATCAATTTAAAAGCTACTTTTGAAACACAAGCTTTAAAGACAAGCTAACTAGTAAGTGTACTTGAGCAAACAGGTCATGAATCAGGTCAGACCCTGAACTAGTTGAAATGGTTCTACTTTCTGAGTCACTGCCTATATGGCTGCACTCTGGGACTACGTACTGAGATGGGTAGCATTTCAAGGTGAGTGTGACACATTGCTGGTCTCTACTAGGATCTCTCCTATGACTACACTCATTAGTTTCATTAGGCATGGCCCATTTAATACTTCCTACATAAATTACTTTCTACCTAACTCCCTCATGTTTTCCTTTAAAGTACTGAGGGGAGCCACTTTGATTCCAAGTCATGTGTTCTTTGTGTATGCAGAACCAATACTATGTATACATCACCAAGTGTGCTGCTGGTGTGCACTATTCCTGGGCTTGTTTGAACAACAGCAAACCTGCTTCACCAGCTGAGGATAGGAAAATGACTTGGGAAAGTGAACATTCAGAGAATATCCTAGAGTATCATGAACCTATCATGCCTTCCAGTTTTCTGGGCAGGTGATGGGAGGGGTGAGCTTGAATATATATGTCCTGCCTTCAAGACCCCTTTCTCATTGTCTTGTTCAATTAGAATATGGATTCACCATTTATAGCAAGATAGGCTGGGTGCTTGGCTACATCCTCTTATCCTAAACCTGTTCTCACCATGCTTTTAAGTATTCTAAATTTCTGTTCTCCATTTTTGGTTCCCAAGACTCACTATAACTAAGACTAAAGTGCTAAACAACACCTGTGCTATTGCCTAAATGCTAAGTTGTTTTTGAAATATCATCTGCCAGATCAATTAGCATATCATTCTTAATTTCAGTCTTTGTGAAGTCCTGGGTCACAGACATAGTACAGCTAAGTTATTGCTAATCTTTATTTCTATCTGGGAAAAATTCCCTAGTCTCTGCATCTTCTGAATCCTTAGAATTGCTCATACTCCTTCATTTGCAGAATGTTAGAAGTTTCCTAGCTTGCTCCGACAATTCATCCAAGCTCTGCCTGTCACACAACTGAAAAGTCATCTCTATGTTTTCCGGTGTAGTTATAGAAATGGCCCCACTTTTTGGTACCAGTTTTCTGTGTCAGCCCCTCTCTCCTTGCTATAACAAAAATTTTGAAGCTCAACCACTTTATAAAGAAGCTTATTTAACTTTTACTATTTAAGCCTGAAAGTCCAAAGTTGGATGACCCCATTGTTTCAAATTCTAGTAAAGACATTACATTGGGTAGCATCAGATGTCAAGGTCATGTGGAAGTAAAATGTCACATTTTGAAATGGAAAGCTAGAGAGTAGTACTAGGTCTGGCCTACCAACTTACTCTTGCAAGCACTCAAGACTCCTTACTCACTTACATGATACCTTACTCACTCAAAGGGCAGTTTCTCCATTGAAATAGATGTGTTTTAGCCATGCTCAGAACTGCCACACTTGGGATCAATTTCCCAAGCATGAGGTCTTGGGCTATATAATAAAACCACATACAAAGCATGATATTTACTAAGTTAAGACATAATTCATTATGTAGGAGTCAATCCATGAAGAAAAGGCTCAGGATATGGGTTCTTAATTACTTAATAATAATTCTGTTTTGGAAAGCCCCTTGATCCATCAGAAATTGACCCAAATCAAGAGCACTGAAGCCAGTCTCTCTGTTGCTGTTGAAGTGGGTGGTTTAGGCACATGGGGGGATTTACAAATTACCTCATCTGGTGTTTTGTTTTTGTTTGTTTGCTTGTTTGTTTATTTTCATGTTTTGTTGCTCTATACAGAGATAGGCCATCTGATATACAGATTATGGTACAAACAAACACCAAAGACTCTTGAGAGAATACAGCACAATGGGAGGACCACTATCTCAAAGTTGTTATGATTCACATTTTCCTGATGGCTAAGGATGTTGATCACTCCTTTAATTGTTTATGTTTATTTTAATTGTTTATGTTTATCGGCCATTTGACATTCATCTGTTGGAAATTCTGTGTTTAGATCTGGACACCATTTTTAATTGGATTATTTGGTCTGTTGATGTCTAGTTCCTTGAGTTATTTACATATTTTGGATATTAGCCCTCTGTCAAATGTGGAGCTGACAAAAATCTTTTCTCATTTTGTAGGCTACACTTTTGTCCTATTGACAGTGTCCTTTGCCTTACAGAAGCTTTCAGTTTCATGAGGTTTCATTTATTAATTGTCAGTCTTAGTGTCTGCACTATTGGTGTTCTGTTTAGGAAGTTGTCTCCTGTGCCAAGGCATTCAAGGCTATTCCCCACATCTTCTTCTATCAGGTTCAGTGTATCTGGTTTTATGTTGAGGTCTTTGATCCACTTGAACTTGAATTTTGTACAAGGTGATAAATGTGAATCATTCTTCTACATGCCTATATCCAGCTAGATCAACACCATTGCTGAAAATGCTTTCTTTTTTCCATTGGATATTTCTGGTTTCTTTATGAAAAGTCAGGTGTCCATAGGTGGGTGGATTTATGTCTGGGTCTTTGATTCAATTCCATTGATCAACCTGTCTGTTTTTATGTCAATACCATGAAGATTTTATTATTATAGCTCTGTAGTAGATCTTGAAATCAGGGATGGTGTACCTCTAGAAGTTCTTTTTTTGTATACATTTTTTTTTAGCTATCCTGGGTTTTTTGTTTTTTCATACAAAGTTGAGCATTGTTCTTTAGAGGTCAGAAAAGAAATGTGTTAGAATTTTGATATGGGTTGCATTGAATCTGTAGATTGCTTTTGGTAAGATGGCCATTTTTACTATGTTAATCATACTGGTACATGAACATGGGAGACCTTTCCATCTTCTGATATCATCTTCAATTTCTTTCTTCAAAGACTTGAAGTTCTCGTCATACAAGTCTTTCTTTCACTTGCTTGGTTAGCATTACCCCAAGAAATTTTATATTATTTTGTGGCTATTGTGAAGGTGTTATTTCCCTCATTTCTTTCTCAGTCCATTTGTCATATATATATATATATATATATATATATATATATATATATATATATATATATATATCATTTTATATATTTATTTGTCCATATATAGAAGGGCCACTGATTTTTTTGAGTTAATCTTTATCCAGCCACTTAGCTGAAGGTATTTATCAGCTCTAAGAGTTCCCTGGTAGAATTTTTGGAATCACTTATGTATACTACCATATCATCGACAAATAGCAATATTTTCACTTTTTCCTTTTCAATTTGTATCCCCTTGATCTCCTTTAGTTGTTTTATTGATCTAGCTTTTATATATCAAAACTGTGTGTTGAAAGTGGCAACTGAGTGAAACCCATCCATAGGAATTCATATGATTCAGTTCATACCAGAAATATATTACCTGAGATTATTATTATCTTAATATAAATATGAATTTAGCAAACTATGCTCAGGATGCAAATCACTTTAGCAATTTTAGAAAAGTCATTATAGTAATATTTTGTTATAACTTGTTACACTTTAGTGACTTCATGCTGAGTCATGAAGTATCAGAGTTTTAATAATGGAAAATTTACAAAATCAGGAAAGACCAGACAATCATCCAGACACTTTAAACATACCCTTAACACTGAATTTACATTCCTGGAAAAATTACCTGTTAACATGTTGTGGGATAAAGTTTGTCACCGTGTCCCAAAAGCAAATAACAAACAAAACAAAAGTTCATCAGTTTAATTAAAAGCAACCTTGTGTTTTGAGTTTTAGGAAACTCAATATGATGTAAACATGCAGCTTCTTCTTTTTTGTGGTTTTATTTTTTTTTTCATTTTTCTTTATTAAGAAATTTTCTACTCACTCCACATACCACCCACAGATCCCACCTCCTCCCTCCTCCCACCCCCAGCCCTCTCTCCCGAGCCACCCCACATCTCCACATCCCCCAAATCAAGGTCTCCCATGGGGAGTCAGCAGAGCCCAGCTCACTGAGCCTAGGCAGGTCCAAGCCCCTTCCCACGGCACCAAGGCTTCGCAAGGCTTCACACCACAGGCACCAGATTCCCAAAAGCCTGCCCATGAACCAGGGATGGATCCTGATCCCCCTGCCTGGGTGCCCCCCAAACATTTCAAGCCAAACAACCATCTTCCATATCCAGAGGGCCTAGTTCAGTCCCATGGGGGCTCCACAGCCACCAGTTCACAGTTCATGGGCTTCCACTAGTGTGGCCGGTCATCTCTGCATGTCCTCCCATCATGATCTTGACGTCTACCACCTGCAGAATCCCTCCTCTCTCTCATCGACATGCAGCTTCTTCTACCTCAGGGTCTTAGTAAAGTAAATCCATATTCCTTGCATATCATAGAATTGTTTAGCAAGAAAAACAAGATGATAGTTTGCTATCTCATTTCTCATCTTCATGAGCAACACCAACAAAATTGCTAGTAGTATAACACATCCACTTGAATAAAAATATTTGGGGTTAATTACTATCATCCAAGGGACTCAAGGGATGCTTCATTTATACAAGCATTTATTTATAAACCAAATAAACAGATTTCTTTGTCAACTTAGTTTTGCCAAGTGTAACAACACCACAGTTCTGAATTTATTAAACATAGTCTGGAGCTCACTTATGTTTTTGGACAGTAGAGTGAGATTGCTGGCCTAGACAGCCAAAACTTGGGACTGATCTAATGTCAGAAAAACAAGAAGTTTACATAGGCTTTGTGTATGAGGACATTGTGCTCCCTGCTCACTTGAGTCAATGCAATATGACAAACATTTATTATCGGATCCCATTTTATAAAATTATTGCTGTATTCATGAACTTTAGTGAGACCCTGCCACAAAGAGGTATAGATACATGCTGGGAAAATATTTACTTAGAGCTAATAACATAATTTTAAGATGGTAGCACTTAAAGTGATGTGTTGCTTTCTTCTCTGTTTTTTCCTACTTTCCTTACATTTTAAATGGACCACTATTGTGTCAACGGTAAAATTTTATTTCGTTAAAATTGGGAAGAATTAATGGTGAAGGTGGTGATAATACACACACTTGAAAACGTTTGTCTGCTTCACGGTTTCCTTGGCTGGGCTACTGCTGAACAAAACAAGTTTATTCTAAAGGACAAAAAGCTGTTGGGCAGCTTAAAGTAATGGCTTCACAAGCAGAGAAATGGACATCAGGAGGGCAATAAATGTTTGGAGTCAGCAAAGCCCCTGGGAACAGCAGTTTTGACAGTCAAATAATAACTGTAACCTTACATTTTAAGGGTTTTCCATCCTCAAAATTGTCCTCACAGAACATTTAAATGTTTCTTGTAAAATTTCCCGAACATACCAAAGAACAGTCGTGACTTTATTACTAAAAAGTAGACAATTTCAAAGCCTTGTCACCTTCCATTTCTGTTTATTGATGATTGCTAGTTATTGTTTTCTTCTGCCAGGGATGTCTTTCAGTGTGGAGCAAGTACATCAGTTAGCAGCATTAAAACAGCTCAGAACTTCAAACCTAGAAAACCTGTTAAACTTAGATCTTAACTTGAATGCATGCCAACTTCATGGCATTCATCACACCATCTGTAGAAATGTATTAGTGATTCTAATAATAACATAAAAATACAGAAAATTGAAGATGTCTCAGGCCAATAAGACTGCTCAGTGAGTGAAGGAGCTTGCTGTACATGTCTGGGTACCTAAATTTGATCCTTAGAACCCATATAAAGGAGGAAGGAGAGAACTTACTCCACAAAGTTGTTCTTTTACTTTCACATATATGCTGTGGTGCACATGTTCCTTCCCCAATAATATTTTTAAAATTAAGAATAAATAATAATAGAATAATAGTAAATAATAATAAATTAGATGTTTCCAGTACAACCCCCTTTATTTTACAGAGGAGAATACCAAAATGTTGGGAGAAAAATACATAAGAATTTCTACAATTATTCGATTAGAACATCAGTTCAAATACCCAGCCCCTCACAGGCCTTTTTTGGGGCACATAACCCTTTGTCATAATTCCAGTGAGTCCCATTTCTTTATAAAATAGAGAATGACTCCATGTAAGAGGAAAATAAAACCCTATTTAACTCAAACCAAGGACACTTATAAGAAGCCATATGATACAGTATAGTGATTATCGGTGTAAGTATATGATGCCCTCTTAATCAGAGGGCAGAAATTATATATCAAAAATACTAGCAGTTCAATAGCCTCTGGGAGATACCAGTTTCTAAAACTTTTAGAAAAGAAAGAATTGTTCTCATGAGTTCAATGTGGGACCTGCTGTTGTTATAACCTGCACATCTTTAACAAAGACTGCTCATACCTACGAGATTGTTTACTTAGAAAGCTATCTCTTTCTGAAGCCAATTAAAGGTATTGTTTGTTCACTTGTCCAAGTGTGCCATTTATTATAAGCCTTTCTACATTGCTAGGCCATTCTCCTGGCATTTTCCTATTTTTTTAAAAAATCTTATTGATCAGAAATGTCTTACCAGGTTTTTGACACTTTACTTATTTCAGTTCAACTCAACAGATAGGCACTGCTTCCATATCCAAAGTACGTTCCTCTACACTGTAAGATATCAAAACAGAGTGGGTTTGGCTTAAGATTTAAAACTCATGGCAGGGTTTGTTTGTTTGTTTCAGAAATAACTCTGTTTAAAAAAATACACAAAAGCGAAGGATTTAACTATAATTGTTAGAAGCAATAGCATTCAGATTTTGTTATATAAAAGTCCAAGATTTAGTGTGCATGTGTATATACACATTTTAGTGAAGTCACTGTCCACCTATATATAACCAACATGTTTCTTAACTTGTATCCCTGTGCTATTGAATGCTTACCTTCCCCTATAAAAAATTAAAAACTAATGCTTGCTTTAAAAACCCATATACTAAATTGAAATGATACAAAGAAGATGCACATCGGCCCTGCACAAGGATCTTGCAAATTTGTAAAATGTTCCATAATCTTTAAATAATATTAATAATAAAGAAGACCAAAACCAAGAACTTGGGGATTAGAAAACATCATATAGAGAAATAGCTGATGTATGAGCTTCAACATGAAAAGTGTTCATACCAAAGAATAAACAGCAGGCCAAGAGCTCAGAAAAGAGAGAAGAGGGAGGAGGTTAGGATGCTCCTGACCCATGTGAAGCTCTCTACAGATGTTACTAAGTCATCTGCTTTTAATCTTGGTGTAGGGACCATTCCCTGTCCCGACTCCTTAATTCCAATCCTACAGTTCATCAACTGTGTAAGACACTTATGGTTAGCTGCCAGGAATATTACCTACTGAGATAGATAAATGTCTAAAAGTTTCAACATGCCCCCTCTCATTTTCATGGTGAAACTCAAGTGTTCAAGCATATGAAACCTATTTATTTTTTTCCTGACTTCTCCTTCCTATTCTTGCCAGTCCTGCAAAGTTGCTACATTTGCTGAAGCAAGTATCATGGACTACCTTGCTACACAAAACAACAGCCGTACGTACCATCAATGACTCGATCCCAGGCATTCTTGGGCCCACGTTTGTCATGGAAATGTTTCAGTAGTACTTGTAGGTTTATTTATACAAAGATTTAATAATATCAGCAAAACAAATGCAATTGTGTTTCTTTTTTAAAATATGTATACCATGTGCCTCAGATGGTAGCATTCTGCTAACATGTGCAAAAGTTTCAGAACTCTGTATTAATGATGATCCCATCTTACACTGCTATTTGTTGTCTTAGGAACACTTTTTGCTCTTTGGCCACGAGGAGAGTCAGAGAAATGGAGAAGAGAAGTGTCTTTTCAGGACAGCTGTATCAAAGTGCCAGTTGGTCCGTTCCAATTGTCTATAGCGAGAGAAACTTCTCATCAAGCTGTTAATCATTCTTTCCAAAATCCTGCAGAGACCTTGCATGTCTCTGCTCTTGGCCCTTTGAAACATTCCACTCTCTTAACTTTGGCTGGAAAACTTGATATGGAGTGAAAACCATACTGGGAGTAGGAAAAGCCCTGCCACTGGCAAACATTTGACTCAACTAATCAAACTGTATTGTGTACCTTCTTCAGATGTTTTTAACCTAGTCTGGAAAGGAAATGCCACTGTTCAATAGTATCATTCAAGAATACAATACAGTTTAAGTAATAAATAAGCACGCCGGATACCTAAATTTAAGGAACACAGCAAAACTCTACAATAGTGTGAATTAAGAAGTTTCCTCCTAAGAAAACCAGAGAAAAGGAGCAAAAAGGGACCTGAAGAAGTCAGCACAGAGGAAATAAAAATCCCTAGAAAAAGCACTGATCTGAGAAGCTAAATAACAAGAAAATTCGATGAAACGAAAGGCTAGGTTTCTTGGCAAGTTTTTTAAAAAAAATTAAAAAGAGCATTGCCAGCATTAGAAATGAATGGCACTCTGACAGAAATGAAAAAGACTATAAGGTAGTCTTCTACCAGCAAATTAGAAAGCTTAGAAGAACTTTCTAGAAAGAAAAAACTTACCAACATTGACTGAAGAAGATTTTCATAACAAAGGAGGATATAAAAAGTCTGATGAGGCCTATAACAAGAAAAGAAGTTAAATCTGGAAGTCCAAGTGTTTACAGGGGCTGGAGATGTGGTTCCACTGGCAGAGTATTTGCCAGCATGAACAAAGCCCTGGATTTGATCCCCAGCATGACAAAAACCAGGCATGATGGGTTATGTCTGTAATCTCAGCACTCAGGGGAAGAGTGCAGGAGGATGGAAGTTCAAGGTCTTCCTCAACTACACAGTGCAAGCAGTGGAGACTAGCATGGTACACACAAGACCCTGCCTCAAAAATAAATTCATAAATTAACAAAAGTAAAAATCATGCCACAAAGAAAATTCAGGGTCCATCACATGAATTTTTAATAATGTTACCGTGGAATCCTTGTGACCTTCAGCATCTCCACGTGGCCTACACGAAAACCTTCAGGCAAGGCCTGGCTTCATTCTACCCCATCTGTTACAGCAATACCACATTTATCCTAGAACAAAGGAGAGATATGCCTGATGGGGAGCAAAGTAAGTCAGTCCTCAGTCCTGTCTTGGGTGAAATTGCTGCTGAGAGGCAGTTTCTCATTCATCGTCTTAGTTTCTAACTGCTCACTCCCTTAGGACTCAGCTGGAGGCTCCTCTGAAAGCCTGATTGAATCGTAAAGAGGCCCCCTTCTTCATGGCTGAGTGTACATTGTCTGTGTTTTCTGTACTATAGCCTGATGTCATCCTGTGGGACTAAGAGGGTGGGGATTAGACATCATGTCTGACTTCATTTGGGCTTGTTGTCTTTATATAAAATTAATCTACGGAAATATGTGAAAGGTACATACAGCAGCCACAATCATATTTGTGGCTTTATTACTACAAATTTGTTTGACTTTCACTGATAAATTCTATAACTATATGAAAAATAAACACTACAAATCCACCCTCAGATAGTACCGGCACTGGAAAGACTTGCCAGCTATTCTGAAACCATAGCCAGATGAAGACCCCACCAGAAAACTGCACACCACTGTCACATGCAAAGGTGTGAGACTCTAATAAAATATGACAAAACAAATGGAACAATATTTGCAAGAGCAGATAATAACAACATGACATACTTACAGTTCTTGCAAGGAGGCTTTGACTTCCCAATTCTGATAATATGACAGATTTGTATTAGTTACTTTTCTATTGTTGTGATAAAACACCATGAGCAAGGCAACTTATAGGGGAAAAAAAGGTTTATCTGTACTGGGATTACAGTTTCAGAGGATAAGAGACCATCTCCATCACTATGGGGATGCGTTGATGCAGGAAACATCACAGCTAGAGCTGGAAGCTGAGAGTTTATATCCTGATCCATAAGCAGGAAGCAGAAAGAACAAACCCTGAGTGGCATGTAGCTGTTGAAACCTCAAAGCATGTCCCCAGTGACACACCTACTTCCCCAGACAGACAACACTCTTTCAGCCTCCCCAAACAGCATCACCAGCTAGGGACCAAGTATTCAAATGCAAAGGACTGTGGGAGACATTTCAATCGAACCCCCACAATCTTTTATTAGTAGACCAGAAGACAAAATTTACTTGATGAACTTTGAAAATACGTTGTGAAATAAGCAGTAAAAATTATGGCATGAAATAATCCATAATAATTCCCTGGATATGGAATGTCCAGAATTATGGAGACAAAAAAGCCAATCAATGACTAACATGGAATTAATTTTTCTAATTTTTAAATATCTTTAAGATGTTGTGCAATAAGCAACCCATCATTGTTGTGGGGTTTTGTTTTGTTGTTTGGTTTCCATTGCCTGGGTAAAAGCAATCCATGTTACCGAAAATCTATCAATGGATCTTTTGAACATCCTTCATTGATCAGGAATCTAATATGGTGTGGATGCTGAATATCTCCAAAGCTCACATGTCCTGTTGGCTTGGTCCTATTTGTGTTATCGGGAAATGTTGGATCATTTAGGAGGTGCAGCCTTGTAGAAATTCCTTAGATCATGAGTAGCATGCCTTGTAAGTGGACTGTGCCTCTCAACTCTTCTTTGTCTTGTCTCTTTGTTTCCTGGTTGAAGAGTTAACTGCTTTGTTTCACTGCATGCTCCCACTGTGAAGTGTCATCTTCACCCCAGGACCAAATCATTGGAGCTACTGACTGTGACCTGGAACTTCCAAGAGAGTAAGCCAAATAACGATTTTCAGTTTTGAGTTTAATTGCCTCAGGTATTGCAGTATAGTGTCTCCATGTATAAACTGATTAATACAAAAGCATGAAGCCTAGAGTTTGGATGCTCAAAACCCATGAAAAGATGATCAGGAATATTTATGTGATCCCAGCATGCCTGTGGGGAGATGGCAGCATTTATCTGTGATCCCAGCATGCCTGTAGGGAGATAGGAGGCAGAGATAGGAGACTCTCTGGAAGCTTGTGAGCCAGCTAGCTTAGAGTACAAGAGGTCCTGACTCAAACAACTAGAAGGTTAGGACATCTCCACATGGTATGCACACACATGGATATGTACACACATACACACACACACATACACACATACACACACACACAAATATACACACACCAATTTTTTAAATAGCATGTGGATAAAATTCTAAAACATTCCTAGGTTCTTGCACAGTATTTCCCTTAGGTTTAACTAGAAATACAAAGTTCTCATTTTACTTTATGTCAAGAAAGAATGTCATCAAATCATTACAATCCAAACCAAAAGATTCTACTATAATCACACAAAAATACATAACTGAATACTAGTCAGTGTTCCATCTTTTGTCAAATTGTGGCAAAAATTAAATCAAGAAATGAAGCCTACTGAAGGCATTTACAATCTGATTGATGAGTAAATTAAACTGTTCAGTCAAAATTTAAATTAGCCATCCTCATAAATCATAGTAAAATAGCAAAACCAAGGCCAGTTGTAATTTAGGTTTTGGGTGACTAAATTTGGGGGCTCAAGTCATCTGGGCTATGGACTAAAGACTTAGCAGCAAACAGGGACAGTTTTTACAGAGAGCAAGACTAGTCTTATCAACAATCAGAAGAGATGGATGGTAGGGATGGCTGTAACATGAGGTGCTTTGTCAAGACCCACTCAGGTTTGGATGAGCAAGGGTTGTGGCTCACATTGGTCAGAGTTTCCAGATTGGACAATTCATAGAAAAAGGAGACTAGCAAGAAGGAAATCCAGCCCTTAGAAATTAAGGGTGAGCTTCAAGCAATGAGGAACTAGATTCAGAGAAGATAACGAAAACAAAACTCTCAGTTTCATTCTATTTTAACATTTAAGTCCAAAGTGAGACTGAAACCACACAAAAAGACCTAGTAGTCCAATGACAGAGAAGATGGGAGCCAGCAAGAACATTGTATCTAATTTAGTGTTCATTACAAATCCAAGGGCTTTGTAATTATATGTTGATTTAAAATAGTCTTAGGACAAGGAATGGCTAGTTCCTTATGAAATTATATACATAGTAACTGCTAAATGATTTAAACTAACATATATATTTGAGGATAAGGTAATAAAATTTTTGTCTTTCACACATTCCACTGATTTTTCTCTTGTTTACATATCTAATGCTTCTTAGCTAGCCTCAATAAATAAAATGTCCATACTCAAATAGAGAAGTAATATTTAAAGTCTAAAACAGCACAAGTAATGAGAAAGAATATAATTCAATAAGAATCCAATGTTTCCTTTCAGAAAGTCCTTTCCTATAATGTTTGTTAAATGACTAAAAATGATTTTCACACCATGCTCTAGAGAATCTGGGAGCTAAGGCCTGTACTTTCTTAAGAGGCAACATCAAAGCCGAATGCAAAGAGAGTTGGATGTAGACTGCATTTGCATATGACACAACAACTTTAGGATTATAAATTTATAATCTGGACACTTAGAATGGTTTGGTTAAGTAAGCATCTGTGACACAAAATATAAGACAACTCCATCCCTGTCTATCCTCAAAAGATACTGTTACAATCTAAAGTGCTAACTTGTTCTAACCCTGAGAAATATGACTGCAATAATGGGGTAAAGGTACATACCCAGATGTAGACAGTATTTCACAACAGAAGTAAAATAATTATAAATGATGCTAAAAATCCCCTAGAAAGAATCTTAGGTCACTTGTGTGTTTTCAAAGTGTGTAATTATACATTATAAAACAAAATGATCTGCCTCACACTTGGGGTAAATGTTTAAGCATCTTTATTTCTTCACCTACCAAAGAATAGGAACAACACAGTCAGTCATGTGGTGGGATTTTTAAAAGCCTCAGCACATTGTCTAGCAGAGAGTAGGTGCGTGCTGCTCCAGAACCTTTATTAGTCTTCTTCTTTTGGATGCTTTGGCTCCTAATCCACTGGATAGCAATGCTGGTCATTACAGGTGCTCACACAGGCTCAGATCTTTACCAGAAAGTCCCTGTGCTGAATGTGGAGTCTCAAAGGTAGGCAGGGTGTTAGCTAGTGATGCATCTCTCTCTCTCTCTCTCTCTCTCTCTCTCTCTCTCTCTCTCTCTCTCTCTCACACACACACACACACACACACACACACACACACACACACACACACGTTACTATTGTTTCCAACATGCCCATGAGGTGTTGGGAGAGAAATTCAGAGATCTTGTCTAAACCCAAACAACATTATTGAAATGGATTCATGTAAAAAAAAAATAGCTTTACTTATGCTTAAACTATTGAAACAATCCCAGAACACAGCAAAGTGAGTTTTGTTCACTTTAACTGGAAATCCTTTTTGTGTTTTTTCCTCAGTCCAACATCATCTAGCAGCAGAGGTCTGAGGTGTGCTTTTCTGTGTTAGTGATTAAAACTGAAACCTACAAAGCAGTCACAGAACTTTCAACATTCATCAATCTTTAAATTTAATAAACTTTCTAGGCTCCTTCACCATTGCTGGAATAACAACACATGATTGAAATGCACTAAATGAGCCATGAACAGCAACACTGAGTTTGGTGAATAGCTAACACCAACACAGAAGAGACCAGGAGAACATGCAGGGGAGTTGCTGAGAAGCCCAGTCCTACTGACCAAAATCAATACCCTCCACCTACCCACATGTGAGAGATCTGTAAGTCATCCGTGCCCACACGGCCAGCACATTTACAGCATGAGGTTCTGAGGGACCCAAATCTCTTGCTGTTTTCATTCTTTACACCCTGTAGATACATGAATATAAGGAGGTTAACTACTCCCTTTGGTATTCATTCTGTACACCCTGTAGATACAGGAGTATGAGGAAGATTAACTATTCCCTTTGGTATTCGCAAAGTGAAATGCAAGTATTAATACTAGCCTTTCTGTGATAACACACCTACATTGGAATTCAGAATTACTTTCTCCCACCTTCTTATTTATTTCTTTGCATGTACCATTCTCCACAGGAAGGAGATATGCTTTGTCCACAGTGAGAAGGTCTAGGGAAATCCTTTTCTGCCTGGACACAAATTAGAGGATGAGGAATGTTTGAAGGGTGACTGAATGGTTTTGAGTGGAAACAGGCTCAAATAAATAATAGAAGGATGCAAGAAACAGAAGAAAAACTATGAAAGTGCATGGATTTCCATATGTTAATGAACTTGCTGCTGTAGAATCCACTGAGATAATACAAATGCTTACACAGAAGATTAACTTAAGCCTGCTTACAAGAAACAGCATCACAGATGGAAAATGATTTTGAAATTTAAAAATGAGATTGGGGAACAGGAATTAAATGTTCCTCAAACTTCCCAAGTTTACAATGCTTGTATTTTATATGGCCAAAGACAATAGTTTCAACAAAAAAAAAAAATTTAAATCAAGGTACTATTATAGTGTTGTAAACATTCTACTAAAACTATTACCAAATAATCTATGATCTGAACAAATATGCATTCACAAAAATATTAACTTTCAGATTAAATTTTCAATAGTAAATTGAGAAATGACTGAAACATTCAACTCATTGCTAGTAAAGTTATTGATTTCAATAAAATAGGATAATAGGCATCTGTTAACATATTGTTCATGTCTTAATTAGGGTTTTTATTGATTCAAAGAGACACTATGATCATGGCAACTCTTATAAGGAAAACATTTAATTGGAGTGGCTCGCTATAGTTTCAGAGGTTCATTATCATCATGAAAGGGAGCATGGCAGCGTGCAGGCAGACATGGTGCTGGAGCTGAGAGCGCTACTTCTTGTAGGCAACAGGAAGTCGACTGACAGTCACACGTGAGCAAAAGAGACCTCGAAGCCCACCCCCACAGTGACACACTTCCTCCAACAAGGCCACACCTCCTAATAATACCACTCCCTTTGGGGTCCATTTTCTTTCAAACCACCACAGTTCACAAGGTTTTTATTATCATGGGAAAATATCCATGAAAGCTTAGACCAAAGAATAAACATAAAACTGAACAATTAATGTATAAGGCAACTGAGCTGTTATTCCAGAGAAAGTGCGAGAGTTGTTTTCTTTTTCTCCTGAGAGAAATGGGGTTGAAAAGACGAGGGATGGTGGGTTAGGGGAGAAAGTAACAGAGTCTGGGGAAGTCCCTCAGGAACAGATTTGAAGAATAAGAATCCTTACTATTAGGGCTGAAGAGATGGCTCCGTGGGTAAAGCCCTTGTCATGCAAGTATGGGAACACATCAAGTGAGGGGGAAGAGTAACAGTGTCTGGAATCTCAGCACTTCCACGGCAAGATCGGAGGCAGGAGAATTCTGTTAGCTTAAGGGTCAGGTCATTTGCTATATGCAGAAATAAAAACAAAAAAAGAAACCTTGCCTCAATCAAGGCAGGAAGTGAGCACCAACACTCAGGGTTGTCCCCTGACCTCCACATGTACACCATGATCCGTGTGCATGCACACACACACACACACACACACACACACACACACACACACACACACGCACACAGACACACACACACTGTACACATCACACACACAAACAAAACAATCATTTATACTGCTTAATAGTCAGTTTTTAGGATCATATCTGCCAAATAAACCTTTTTGGTTCTTTTGAACTTTTGTAAAGAGTCTATTACATACATATAGACTCTTCTATTAAAAAAGGGGTGAGAAAAATCCAAAAAGAGGTACTGAACTCGATTCAATGCTAAGTTTAAAGAACTTCAAATGAAAATTTGTGAGACTGTTATGCTAGAGCCTCATGGGACCAGAGGCCTGTGGAGAATGTGAGGCTTTCCAAGAGGCGTGTGACCCATGGCCCCATAGTGCACCTGTAGAAAAATCTTCACAAATACCTGACTCTTTCCTCCACTTGGGTACCCGTAACTTTGCCAAATCTGTCTCTGATGGAAATGATTACTTTGGTGAAGGAGGAGGAGGAGGAGGAGGAGGAGGAGGAGGAGGAGGAGGAGGAGGAACTTGAAAGATTATTTGTAGCCTACGATCCAATGAATTTACAGAATGTAAAAGCAGACCATCCTTCTTACTGAACCCCCTCTGAAAGGCCCTCACAGACACACACAGACATATGCCATAGTCTATTCATTCTAACTCCAGTCAAATGAGCAGCAAAAATCTCTTATCACAGTCTCAGTTCACATTCCCTCCTGATTTGTGGTGCTGAGAATTTGTTTAATCCTCCCATTTGAATAAAAAGTTAAATCTCAGAGGCAAAAGATAATATGCTAGCACACGTCTGTGTATTGTTCATAAAATTATATAGTTATTCATCCATACATAGGACATTGTATAATAGCTAGATTGAGTGTTTACACATTCGGTGACTATTAAGTAACCAAGGACAGGCAGTTTTCATTCCTACAAGTAGTAGACATTGTGAGAACCTAAAACTGGAAGTAGATCAAAGGTGATCTAAATAGGGCAGCAGGCAGTGCGGGTGTGGTGGGGGAGGGGTATTGGGGATGGAAGCATGGTCAGCAGAATGAAAATCCATGTGTAGGTGTGTTGAACACACATTAGAAACTGTTGGAAAGACAAACACAGTATGTGTCACTCATATGGTAAACCTTTTTTTGGTAAAAATAAACCATACGAAGTATTTACTAAACAAGGTCCTCTAAGCTGTGGGCAAAGCACCCGGGAGGACATAAAATAACAAAAGTTTGATTTGGCTCATGGTTCTGGAGGTTTCAGACTGTGATCAGCTTGTTCCACTGCTGGACATATGTTGGGGCAGAGCAGGAGGCTACTGACCTCATGGGAGCCAGGAAGCAGACAGATAGAAGAGGACAGGGACAGACATACTCTCTAAAAGCACATTCCTAGTGACCCACTTTCTCCAATCCAGCCTCAGCTACCCCAGTTTCTACCACCTACCAAAAACCCATTTAGTTATGAATGTGTCAGTGGATTAGTCTATCATTAGGAGAGCACTCAGATCCAGTCTTATCTCAGAAGCCCACCTCTCAATGGTGTCACCATATGGGGACAAAGCCTGTGATGCATGAATCTTTGTGATCATTTTATCTTTTTTTTTTTTTCCAGAGCTGAGGACTGAACCCAAGGCCTTGCGCTTGCTAGGCAAGCGCTCTACCACTGAGCTAGATCCCCAACCCTGATCATTTTATCTTTAAACCTTGTGACAGATGCTCTGTTGTCTCACTGAGGTCACAAAGTAAATCTATGGCTCCATGTTGGATTTTAGAATTCAGATGCCTGTAGGAGGCAGCCAAGGGCTTGGGAAGTGGATCCTATTGGAAGAAAGTTACATCATCCTTATCAGAGGCATGCCTTAATAGGAATGCCAGATTCCGACTCCTCCCTCTCTTCTACTTTGCTTCCAGGATGCCATGACATAAGCATATGTGTTGCCCCATCTGTTGCCCACCATGATGTGTCCCCCTTAGACAGACCCCAAATCAACAAAGCCAGATAAACCTGTCCTCTTTTTAAGCTGTTTCTCTCAGCTATTTTGTCATGGATATGAAAACAGAATAGCTCATGAAAGATGATAAGGCTTCACCTCTTTAAACACGTGGGAACTTCAAATGATAAGTTACACACTGAATGTTCTTTAGGTAATGAGTGATGGAGCTGAGATCGAGATCTGGGTAGTCAAACTCAAGGCTACAAACCCAGCAGTGTAAGGGCTTATCATGTACCTGACTCTGTGGGGATTAGCCCTAGAACCCGCACAATTTGCAGCATAGGTCTGAGATTATTTATATGCACAGGGTGTAGAAGTAAATCACCCTTCTTACATGACGCTCTGTGAAAGGCCCTCACAGACTCACGCAGAAGTATCCCACAACCTGAGTTCATTCTAAATCCAGCCAAATGAGCAGCGAAGATGATCACCCATCGCAGTCTTGGTTTAAAGTCTGTCATAATCTATTGTGCTGAGAGTTTGTTTAATCCTCCCATTAGAATATAAAAATTAAATGTCACAGCAAAAGATATGCTATCACATATCTGTGTATTATTACATATAAAACTATAGTTATTCATTCATACATAGGACAATGTATAATAACCAGATCTAGTGTTGACATGATAATAAATGTTAATTAAATGTAAAGCAGGATGTGCATGTCAACATATCAAAATCTTTTATAGATGCTCACACGGGCTTTGTGACTCACGTATATGTTCATAATTCATGGTCACTATTAATATTTACAGAGCAAGTGATCCCAACTGATTTTAATGTTGGTTGACATAAAAGACTATGAAGGCAATATAGAATACTTCGGTGGAGTTCCTGGAAAATAACAGAAAAGGAAAATAAGTCAAAGAAATATGGAAAGGGCTGTGTTCTTACCAAGCCAATATCTAAGCGCCCGGGAGTACCTACAGGCTTCATTTCAGATGGCAACAGCGCCCTCTGGTGAATAACACATTTATTTTACAACTTTCTCCAGAGCAATATAGGTGAGATACTCCTTGGGCACAGAGGTAGGTTCAGGAGTAGACAGCTCAACACACTACTGCACAGCACTGGTTAGAGACAGTAGCTCTCTACTGTACCTTCTAAAAGGCCACAAGAAGGGATCTTGGATTACTGACAATAAGTAAATGATAAAAGGGGACAGTGGCATGCTTAACCAGATTTGGACATTACGAACTGCACTGTATATATGTGTGTATGTGTGTATGTGTATATATATATGCATATATATGTATATATATTGCATTATGGATATGTGCATATTTATGTTTTTATAGATGGCTCAATTTCAAATAAGACTAATACAAATTTAGGGATAAAGCTAAATATTAAAAGTCGCCCTGCCGATCTTTTGCTCAAGCTAGCATATGATCAGACCTAACTTACTTCATTTTAGAAGCTGTTTCTGTATTAGAGTAATTTTGGAAAAATGCAAATTCTACTTCTATAAATAAACAAGAGTGGGTATGTTTGAGGTAAGCAAATTAGGTGTAGAGAATGCTACTTCGAGAGAAAAATTGTCTCAGAGATGTATCTACAAAGTACTACATATTACTAAAACGTTTTTTCATTTTCATATGTACGTTTTAAATTTTCAGTGGTCTGAAACACACAAATATGTCCATGTCACTCTCCTTTGTCCATGTAAGAGCTTTACTCCTGTGTCCAGTTCTCAGTGATGTTTTTCACTGTCCATGGCATTCACAAGCTACACGGACCACAGAACACAGCCATGTGATTCATGGCATCCATCATCTCGTAGTATACCACACAGGTTCACTTTATTTTCTTTCTTTTCCTAGCCAATGAAAGCTTCACTGTGAATGTGAATTTCTGCCCATTTCATGTTTTTCCTCATTGTTGTAATCTTCATACCTAAAATAATGCCCACAATAAATGCTTCCTAATAGAGGCTGAATAAATGAGCCTACTGTGGTTATTACATGCGGCTGGAGTCTTGATTACTCACTATAGTTTTTCCTTTCCTTAACTCTGGTTTGGCTTTCTGGCATCCCGGACCCACTTAATATGGCAAAGAATGACAATGTAGCCGTCCCAGCTTTAACAGGATTGGTAATTTTATTTCCCAATTTTTGTTTCTCAGACAAGGAAGTTGGCAGCAAAAGACCTCTAGCTGTGAACGTATTTTCTCTTGTAGTTCAACCACCATGCTGTCAGAAGCCCATGGCACTTTGATATTCCATCCAGTATCCCAGATGAAATGCCAGGTCTATGTGACACAGCTCACATGGACTACCCGACTGAATCCTCACATGCGTGCCAATCCAGCCACCCTCATGTAGAGCTAGCTGAAGAGCTGCCTAATTCCCAGGCAAAGAAAAAAGTTGCCATTGTACACAGATAGTTTGTTATAATAACAAATTATCAAGCCTATAACCTGTCATACCTGTGCTGGGTGCCATAAAGAACATCAAGGGAACATGAAAAGATCAATATAAAAGAATATTCATTGGAAAGGGAGAAGAAGATCATTTATGTGAGTATTTCCTTGTAAGCTGATGAGCACCACAAAGAACCAATGAGGACTTAAGGATTTAGAGGAAGGCTGAGTTCAAAGGAAACTTTGGGAAGAAGGTGCTGTTAAGCTGGTAGAGCGTGTCTCTAAACAAAATTTAGTTGTAGAAGTGAAGTCTGGGGGCGGGGTTGCTGGAAGAGGCGGAGATGATAGCTGGAGTCCTGGTACCTACCCATCTAACAGAAGAGATATGGTTTGGTGAGAGTAGGCCTGTGTAGAGAAAAGGGGAAGCCAGAGAGGAGTCCCCTGGAAACGCATTAGGAAGCTGTGCTGCGGCTGTCCTCCTTCACAGTCACAAGTAAGACAGAAGCTCTTTGACACGCACTGCACTTGCCACGCTCATTATAAACATGACTTAAGCAGTGGAAGTGAATGTTTGTGATTCTAGGTCGGAAATGAGGTCATTCTTTAGTCCCCTTTCCAGAGACCCTCACTGTCAACGTTTTTCTCCTTCCAATTCTCTGAGTACAATGGGAGATAGACAATGTGCCCACACTTCTACTTACTCATTCACTAGCATTGTTTTTGTGGTAATCCACCTACTGTGTTCATAGTCTGTGAAGGTAGGTTTACAGTATTTACACAAGATTTATCATATAAAATACCATTCCTTTGGTAGATATCTTAGTAGGAAATTTTTACACTCTTTTCCAATTTAGAAACAGCTCTTTTGTAAATGAACACCAAATGTGAGGTTAACTGCCTCTGCTTGGTATAATGTCATTGGCTACTCTATGAGGCATTTTTGTGTGACTATGACAAAAAAAAACTTGACAAAATTAATTTATAAACTTTTAACTTACAAAGGAAATGTGTTTAGCTGGGCTGTGGTGGTGTATGCCTTTAATCTTGACAGTCGGGAGGCACAGGTAGGTAGATTTCTCTGAGTTCAAGGCCAGCCTGGTCTATAGAGTGAGTTCCAGGACAGCCAGGGGTACACAGAGAAACCCTGTCTCAAAAATCAAAACAACAAAACAAAACAAATGCATAAAAAACAAAAACAAAACAACAAAACGAAAAGAGATGATTGCTTTGATGCATAGTTCTAAGATTAGCCAGCCTACTGTTGAGGATAGTGCATCATGGTAGTAGTGTGATGGAGCAAACAAATTACATCATAAGCCAGGAAACAACCCTACTGGACTTCAACAATTCTTTGAGGCTACGATCTCAATGGCCCATATGGCCTCACTTCCTAAGGTTCCAGAGTATCTCATTATTACCTTGCTGGGGAACCACGCCTTTATGGATCACACACACATTTTTGGACACTCAGGAGCCTACAGACAACATAGCCTACACTGAAGAAGTCCATGAAAAAGAGTCTTAGGAAATATTTCTATAGTTTGTCACGATTTGATGAAGATTGTCTGAATGGTGCTGCAGAGCTCATATTTCAGAGCAGAATCTATTTCCGAAATGAAGAAGAAAGTATTGTTTTGATGTTCTCAGGGTCATGTAAAACCATAAATTATACAGGAGTCTCTTTTAGCTCTGTGAAGTTGAAATCTTTCAGGCAAAAATGTGGCTCTTTTTTTCTGTCCCAACTTCTTGATTGATTATTTATTTAATATGCAATTACAGCATGTCCAACTTTATAAATAAAGCTAATCCTTTTTGGAACATAGAAGGCAATTTGTACAAAAGTGAATGAAAAGATGAATTAAATGAACATTATTTCAGCTCCTTAAGAATAACCATATAAACAGAGCCAGGAGTAGTGGTTCACACCAGCAACCCCAGTGCTTGTGAGGAAGAGAAAGGTAGATCAGGAGTCCAAAGTCATCATCAGCTACATAGTGAGTTCAATGTCACAACAAGCTAGGTTATATGAGATCCTGTCTCACAAAGTAAAACTGTGACTAAAGAATAATTCTACAAAACAGTAAAAGGGCTGGAAAAATGCCTCTGTAAGTAAAAGCAGTTTTCCATGAGTCAACCCGAGTTTGATCCCTGGGACCCACATGGTCGAAGGAGAGACTGGCTTCTTCTGCAAGTTGTCCTCTGACTTTTACAAGTGCACTACCACTCACATGTATGTGCACATACACACACACGCACACACACACACACACACACACACACACACACACACACACACACACACACACAAAGAAGTGTAATTTAAAAATTAAAACAAAATAGAAACAACATATGCTAAATAAAACAAAAATGATTGAGCCAGACCCTTATTTTCTTCACAAATGGATACATATGATCGAATAGTTAATATTGTAAAAATTACATATTTACTCAAGAATAAATCCAAGAAAATATACTTACTTCCCCGTGTCATAGCCAGAGAAGAAAATGAGACTTCAAGGACTCCTTGAGTAGAAAAGAATGGTTGACGATTTAAAGAAGGCAGTTGGTGCCTGCAGAGTGCTCACAGGAGAACACTGAGAAGCAGGGAGGGTGACTACTGAACAGAGCTCCACGGATGTTCATGTTCAATCAAACAGATGGTAACAGTACTTCACAGCTTGGACTTCATCGAAGACGTGGTGGGCCTTGGAGCGGAATGAATAATGTAGTGAAGCTTTTGCATGCTTCTAAAAATAGTGCTTTGCAAGACCATGCGGCTTCCTGAAAAACCAACAAAGTTTTTCTGTGAAAACATTAGAGACTATTTTTTTTAAGAGGGTAGATCAGTCATCTCAGCGTTTCTAGTCATCTTTCCGTGTAGAGCTGAAGAAAGTTTTAGCTCTAAGTGACTAATTGCAGAGTGGAGATGTTTTGGCAAGATCAGCTTCAACAGTTTTAGTCAGTAAGAGTTACAAGCAAAACCTGTTTGTAAATCTTCCGAAGTGCGAAAGGGAGAGAGAAGGGAAGCTGTTAGAGGAGTAGAGTTCTTCAAGTTTTAAGGGTAAAAACACGGAATGCCACACCTTTTCCAGAAGGCAAGATATTCAATTCAGGAAAACCCTTCAAATAAATATACATAAGTCCTATTCCTGAAACTACCTAGTGATAACCAGAGATGTTGAAGGCTTATTTGTAATAGTTAATGCATCTAAAATTGATGAACAGGAAAAAGGAGAGAGTTTGTAAATGTTGAGTGGCATTTTTCCATCAGATCCATGTGAAACAGTGCAAAGAACAGAGCTTTGTGGACCAGCTGCTCCATTTCAGTCCTTACCTCACAGATCCAGAAAAGGTACAAAGCTAATCTATATGCATGCACTTTTGCACCCCCAACAACACATCAACAAGAAACCAGAAAGTTTGTTAATTTCAGACATGATAAAGCACATATCATCTTTATCAGAATCTGGATACAGGTAATTCCAAAGTCAGCATGCTTTCCATTTCACAAAATTGGTGGGATAGTAAAGAGACTCTGAAAGGACCTAATACTTCATCATGCCATAGTTTCAGACATTAGCAAAAAGCATGAGTCTCCTGAATCAGAGACACAGTCAGTATCCCATCATTGCTTTCAGAACTACAGTGGCACCTGTTTGAATCAACATCTAATCCTGGGGACAATCATGGTAGAAGAACCTACAGATATGCTGGATGTAATGAGTTGCATCACAGTTCATAAGCCCCAAGACATCTACAGTTACAAAGGATGGTGATAGACAACATGGCCATCTGTAATCCAAAGAAAATACTGTCTCCTGATCAGGAAACAAAGCTGACCTTTATCACTGGCATACTACTCATCAAAGCTATTAAAACTGACTGGAAATGCAAACATCCTTATATAGTTAGCTGGAAAACAGCTGCGGTTGTTGTATAGAAATGTCACAAAGAACTGCCCTGCTAGTCAGCGTATCCCAGCAAAAGCATAAATCAAACAGGTTCTGTGATTTTAACCAGAAGTACAAAGATCTGTGGCTATATTGGCCTTGGTGTGTATGGGTGTGTCCACACACATGTGCTTGCACACATTGATGTATCAAAGTGATTCAAAATCAAGTACTTAGGGGCAACTGTCTAAGAATCAGCCAGTTTCCAGTGAGACACAAGGCTAAAATGAAAACAGGAATGTGGGGAAAGGATTTGGGAAAAATGGGATGTAAGGGCTCTGGCCAAGCTGACTATGCTTGGGGAAGAAATTTATAGTGGATTGGTAAATATAAGCAGAAAACTAATTGTGTGAGTTATCGTCACCTGTAAAGATAAACTCCATTCCATTGACTGAGAACTCATGAAGTTAACTTCTCACTCCCTGACAGTGGCTAATTTGTTTCCTAATCAGGTTGGTAAACAACATTTCCTTTTGGGACAGGGCTGTGCAGTTTAGCTAGCAATCTCCCAGAACTCAGATTGCATGCCAAGAGCAATGCCGGACATGGTGGATTTAGAAGAGCTTAATGCACTTCTTTCATAGACTGGGATTTGCCTGAAAGTACAGTTACAGTGTGCATCTTTACAACAATTCTTCTTTGTTTTTGAGAATTTCATGCACGGATATAATGAAATGTGATCATATATACCCCCATTTTCCACTCAAACTCCCCCATATCCTCTTACATTCCCTTCCCCAAGCCTCATGTCTTTTTGTTTTTAATAACCCACTAAATTCAGTAGTACTGCATGAATATGGGACCAAGTATAGAGCATGGCAACCTACCAGTGACAATATCTTGAAAAAGAATGATTTTCCTTCCTGCAACAACTGTCCATTACCAATTTTTCCTCAGTAAAGGATCGTGCCTAGAGATCATCTGCCCCATCTGTGCTGGGATTTTTGTAGGCTTGATCTTCTGTGAGTCATGTGCAGGTAGCACAGCTGTTGTAAGTTCAGCTTTCAATACCCAGGTCATGACCAGAAGATACAGAGATTCTCCACATCCCTCAGATCTTATGTTCTCTGCCTCCTCTTCGACCACGTTCTCTGAGCCTTGGTGGTGATGTGATTATACATGTTCCATTTAGGGTTGAATATTCAGTCTCTATTGTTGATGGAAGACAAAGGCAGTTTCAGGAGATAGACAGAGACAGGCAGACTCAGCAAAGATGGCTGTGGTGGTTTGAATAAGAATTGCTCCCGTAGACTCATAGATTTGAATGCTTGGTCACCAGAGAGTGGCACTGTTAGGAGGTGTGACCTTGTTGGAATAGGTATGGCCCTGACTGAGAAAGTGTGTCACTCACTGTGGTCAGCTTTGCGTTTTCAAATGCTCAAGCCAGACCTAGTATCCCTCTCTCTTCCTGCTGCCTGTGGATCCAGATTAGAACTTTCAGCTTCCTCTCCTGCACCATGTCTGCCTGGGTGCTGCCATGATAATAATAGACTAAACCTCTGAAACTGTAAATCAGCCTCAATTAAATGTTTTCCTTTATAAGAATTGCCGTGGTGTCTCTGCATAGCAATAAAACAGTGACTAAGACAATGGGAGATGACGAACAAAATTGGAGGTATTTTTCAAAGAGATAGACAATACACCAGTTGAAATGTCAACAGTACACAAAAGAAAAAAAATCTTGCAGCATTCTGTGGGAGCTCAACTGTTGCAATCTTTGCTCAGGCATTGGAAGCTAAATGTCAGGTCACTTACAGAGTGGAGCTAGCAGGATAACACAGCCAGAGAAAAAATGATTAGACAAAGGAACTATTGAGTTCTGAAACTCTCGAATTCATAGAGAAAAGGTGGCCTTCTGGTCAATTTGAAAATAAACCTTATTAAGCAACTTGATTAAATAAGATTTAAACCAGTTTACAATCAAGGCATCAATTTGGTTAAACCCCTGGATGGCATCTATCTCAACACTTGAGGGTTTTAGAAAAGCTATTGGACTCTCATCATTTTTCCTGAATGTTTAATGTGATGAGTTAGCTAAGAGTTGGTCCCCGGCAAGGGCTGCAATTGTTTTTTGTAAAAGTGTGATATCTTCCATCATTAACAAAAGAAAATAGTAACCTCATCCATCAGATTACATTGCAGTCATTTCCACAGTAAGAGCTAACTTAATGCAAATAATATCACTAATTAAAAAATTGGGGCACATATTTTTAGCTCTAATAACTTTCTAGAATAACTCTAAGAATTAGCTAAAGGGCAGTGATATTCTCATGCTTTAATTCAAAGTTTGGAGTACAATAAATTTTTCTTGGTGCTAAAGAAAAAAGAGACTAATAATGGCTTATCTCCACATTTGCATGAAATAGAAGATGATTTTCATTTGATTTTCATAAAATTGATCAAAGGAATGAAGAGAAATAATTTTTCATGTAAGAAACATTAATTTTATCATGTTTAATAAAGCTTTTCACATAGAAAACATCTTCAAAAATATAAAGGTGATAAAAATCTGCTTCATTTCTTACCTATCCCTTTTTTGGCCTAGGGGAAAAATTCTGAAATTATTTCAATTAAGTACACTAATAGTAGAGAATGGAAAAGGACTTTAAAATTATCCACTGTTTATTACCAAACTTTTAGGGAATTAAAAATACTTTCTAAGCTAGCCAAATACATAGATCACAAATGCAAAGCTTCCATTTTTTAAAGGACTTATCAGATGTCGAATGTTTTCTTTCTTTCTTTCTTTCTTTCTTTCTTTCTTTCTTTCTTTCTTTCTTTCTTTCTTCCTTTCTTTCTTTTTATGTTTTGTTTTGAGACAGGGTCTCACTCTGTAGCACAGACTAATGTCAATCTCATGGTCTAATCCAAACTGGACTTGAACTTATGGCAATTCCCCTGCATCAGAATTCCAGAGTGCTGGATTACAGGCATGCACCACCATGTCAGGCTAGCAAAATTATTTCTGTAAGACTTTTCAACACCTATTATCACAGTTTTCTCCTTCTCTCTATAAAGTGCTAAGCATTAAAAAAAAACCAAGTTTTAATCATTTATGTAGGGCCATTACAAGGAGTATATATTCACTAAAAGTATATATAATTAAAGCTCCTTAACTAATAAGTGAAAAGTGATTTTTGCTTTCAAAACTATTTCTTAAAACTTGAGCAGCTAAAAACTGTTCACAGATCTCGGTATCCATTATTCATTCATAATATAGTTAAGGTAAGAAAGTTAATGTGGCAGATAGAGGAGGTGAAAGTCAACTGGTCTATTGAGAATATTTCTGTGCTGTAGCGTTCAAACTGGCATGGTTATTGATGAATTTATGGTACCAGTAATGGTATAAATTTTTCTAAGAAAATTAAATCAGGACACATAGAAAAAATTTTACCACATACACATGCAGAGAAACATAAATATATACACAAACAAAAATCATAAAAACATAAACTTGAAAGCGATAATATGGAATCAAAAAACCAGCAAAGTAAAAAAATAGTGCTAGTAAATATAGATGAATATTCTCCAAAAATATCATTGACTTTGTTTCATGTTGGCCATTTACTGCTAGGTGTGAGACTTGCATTTAAGTATTTATAGCTAGTGAGACACTACTAGAAAAAAATTTATTTTTTTTTTTTTATTTTCAAGCAGTTGTCAGTGAGAGATAGATTCTTGGTTACTGATGAGATTTCACGGCCACTTACCTCCCTTATCACTGCGACCCCATCTGGCTTGGATATGTACAGACAGTGTCCATGCTGTCACATTCTCTGTGAGTTCATGTGTGTGTCAGCCCTGTTGTGTCTGGAGGACACTGTTTCCTTGGTGTTGTCCATCACCTCTGGCTCTCACAGTCTTTGGGCCTCCCATTCTGCATAGCTCCCTCAGCCCTGAGGGGATGGATTTGATGAAGATATCCCACTTTTG